GGTCCGGGGCCGGCAGGCCCGGGGAGGGCACTGGCGGGGCATCGGCCCACCGCGAGGGTCATGGCGAGTAGGGAGGGGCAACCGCAGTTGTGAGGGATGGGGGTGGGGAGTGAGGTGCGAAGAGGCGCTGGCCGGTCTGTGGGACTTTGGGGGCAGAGACGGGGAGGAAGATGGGGTCCCGGTGTGATGAGAGGGACTTCAGGGTCGGAAGTGGAGGATCCCATTGTGGGGCGGGGGCTCTCCAGGGTCAAAGGTAGAACGCCCCTTTGTGGGCAGAGGCGGGTCCGGGGTCAGAATAGAAATTGTCACTGTGGGGAGGGCGACCCTCGGTCAGAACAGAAGTTCCCATCGTGGGGAGTGGGAGACTATAGGTCAGGGTGGAAGTTTTTACTGTGGCGAGGAAGACCCCAGGTCGGGGGGAAGGCACCGCTCTGAGAGGAGGGGCCCTGGGTGATGTGTGGAAGTAACTCAGTGGGGAAGGAAGGGAACCTCAGCTTAGGACAAAAGGTGCCTTCCTGTATGGGCAGAGGAACCCCAGGGTCAGACGTGAGGGATCCTACTGTGCGGAGGGGCGCTCGGGGGACAGGGGAGGTGGAAGCCAGTTGGTGGGGTGGGAGGGGTGGGCGCTGCTAGGAAGGGTCGGCACTTAGGGGCAGGTAGCAGAAGCTGCCGGGGAGTTTGGAGGATGCTAAGGATGGGAGGAGCCAGCCAGCTTGGCATTCTTTTGTGCGTTTGGGAGTCCCAGAGCAGGTCGAGCTGGGGGGGACCTATTTGGAGTCAGTGGGCAGCAGCAGGTGGCCTCATACAGGGGGGCGGGGGGCACTGTTTAGGAGGTGGGTGGTGGATCGGAGTTTGTGTGCCTTCTGGGGACATGGGCAGCTCCCAGGGGCTCTGAGAAGGGCTGAGCCAGAAGGCTAATGGGGGCTGGATGGGCGGGAAGTTGGAGAAAATGTGTGTGCGGTTGAGGGTAGGGGCTGGAAGCATATTTCCCGGCAGTTTTCCTTCCCTTCATTTTCCAGTAGGGCCGGGAGTTGGGAAGGAGGGGACGCAAGGGCTCTAGAGAAGGGGGATGATTGGAGAGCAGGGAGAGGAGGCAGTTATCTGACAACGAGTGTTAGGTGGGGAGAAGGCAGCAGGGGATGCCCTGGCTCCCCTGCCCCACGGCCCCAAAACACTGCCTCTGCCCACCTCCAGCAACCTCAGGTTGTGTGGGGGGGCCAGAAGCAGGGCCACTAGGGTGGCTGCCCCTGCTTTTCAGCCCTGCAGTGAAGGCAAACTTCCTGCCCACTTGCTTGGGCCCAGAACTTCTTGCCTGGCTTTTCTTTGTGCCCAGGATAGAACCTGGGGTGCGGTGGAGGGCTGATGGCCCCGGTAGGCCCTGGGTTTGAGGCTCTGCTTCTGTGTCAGGATTCTCTCCCCTTCCTGGCCTTGCTCTTGACCACTGTCCCGAATGTGCACAGGCCCCAGCCGTGGAGCCCTGCAGTGTATGTGTGGTAACACCATGTCTGTGCCCCTGCTCACTGATGCTGCCACTGTGTCTGGAGCTGAGCGGGAAACAGCTGCGGTAAGGGTCTTCTGCTACCCACGTAGCCCCCAGGGGGCCAGCTGGGGAACTGGCTGGAGGGGGCGTGGGGAAAATAGAAGTGGCAGTGAGGAGAGGGCGAGCAGCCTGCAGCCGGGAGGCAGGCGCTTAATCGCCTGTCTGGCTGCCACCTCAGTTCCCCTCCAGGTCCTTGGGGGTGAGGGAGGGATGGCCAGAAGTTGGAGGACAGAGTGAGAGTGATAGCAGGACGGTGACTGCCCTCTTCCCCATCTCTGATCCTTTTCCAGGTTATTTTTTTACATGGCCTTGGAGACACAGGGTGAGTGAGCTGGGGAGGGGGTGTTCCTGGGGAAGTGGGGGAGGGCCCAGGGGGCGGAACTGGAGCGACCTGCGCCCTCCCTTCCTCCCTCTACACATCGGTGCCTTTTCTCTCTTCCCTTCTACAGGCACAGCTGGGCTGACGCCCTCTCTACTATCCGGCTCCCTCACGTCAAGTACATCTGTCCCCATGCGTGAGTGTCACCCCAGCAAGGGGAGGGGCTGAGGATGGGGGGTGGTCCTGTGGTCCCAGGCCTGTTCTCCTGCCGGCTGCATCCTGGGGCCTGGGGCCCAGAGCAGTCACAAGTGCCATTTTCAGCCTTCATCATTCCTGTGGAACCCTCAGGAACAGGGTCCAGCCCCAGACCCAAGGCCTCCTAGACCTGAGACTCCTAGAACTAGCACCCCCTGTACCCCTTCCCCAAGTACTCACCGACTGAGCTGGAACCCCGCACACCAAGTGCTGGGCTGTGCTGCTCCATCGCTACTGCCTATGCCCCAACCACAGCCTCCAGCCCCACGTGGCAGGTTGCCTGGCAACACCTTAAACACAGGCCCCAGCTGCTGGGAGGGTTCCCCCGGGGTTGCCCTGCCCCCACCTGGGCTCTCTGCTGTGGCTTCTTCATCCCTCCTGAGCATGACGGCCCTCTTGCTGTCGCTCCCCAGGCCTCGGATCCCTGTGACACTCAACATGAAGATGGTGATGCCCTCCTGGTGAGTTCGGGGAGGGCGAATAGGAGCCTGAGGGGGCTGCCTGGGGCCAGCCCAGACCTCCCAGTAGCTGCCAACGCCTCTGCTCCTCCAGGTTTGACCTGATGGGGCTGAGTCCAGATGCCCCAGAGGACGAGGCTGGCATTAAGAAGGCAGCAGAGAACAGTAAGGCCCCAGCCCCTCCTCAGCATCCTCCCTCTCCCCCTCTGCCCGCCCAGGAAAGTGCCTGGCAATACCTCTGTTTGGCTCCCTTCCTTGGGTCCCTGTGGCAGCTTTCCCTCCACCCAGTCATGCCCCCTCCCCCCAGTCAAGGCCTTGATTGAGCATGAGATGAAGAATGGGATCCCTGCCAATCGGATCGTCCTGGGAGGCTTTTCACAGGTGAGGGGAGAGAGAGGGGGGTGGGTGGTGGGAGCTGAGCTGTGCCCTCATGAGCCCTCATTCTCTCCTTCCTCCAGGGTGGAGCCCTGTCCCTCTACACAGCCCTCACCTGCCCCCACCCTCTGGCTGGCATTGTGGCATTGAGCTGTTGGCTGCCTCTGCACCGGGCCTTCCCCCAGGTGAGTGTCTCCACTACCCCGCTCCTGCCCTGTCTCCTTGAGGCTGGGGGATTGTGCCCAAGCACTGGCTTTGCTCTCTGAGTCCCATCTGGCCCACAGGCAGCCAACGGCAGTGCCAAGGACCTGACCATCCTTCAGTGTCACGGGGAGCTGGACCCCATGGTTCCCGTACGGTTTGGTGCCCTGACAGCCGAGAAGCTCCGGTCCGTTGTCACACCCGCCAGGGTCCAGTTCAAGACTTACCCTGGGGTCATGCACAGCTCCTGTCCTCAGGTCAGTGCCGGGGGGGGGGGGG